GTATTTACTGTAGCTGCTGTAGTTTCAATATTCGGTGTATATTAAAGCGTATTTTTATACCCTCGTAACATGTAGTTACCGAGTAAAATTATTTTCTTCACCTAACGGTTGTTTGTATAACTTGAAATACTAATCGAAATAGATAAAGTGATATATAGATAAATGCTCATTATAACGAGAAAAGTTACGGTCTGTCGTTACGTCAGTCGGGCCGCCTGTCTGTGCGAGCACTAACTGCACTATGGTATATAAGCTCGTTGCCACAATAGGAAGGTAGGTATGGGAAATTACGGAATCGCACAACGTGAGGCCGCCTACTTTTATAGGAAATCCTGTATCTTAGGAAMCACTCGGAGTGCAACCACGCCAACTTCCTATTTAACACCAATTTAAATTCCAGCTTATTATATAACTGCACAGTATGAAAATCGGGTATTAGTGAAGATATCGGGGTTAAACTTTGCTCAAATAGATTGCTCAAGAAATGGACATTTCGGACAATAATGGACATAAATCGGGTTATACTTTAGCAAGCTTCCTAGATACCAAATATGTGGATCCCAGAGTCGAGGGATGACTTTTAACCAGAAATAACAGTCAATATGTTAATATAACATTGTAAGATAAAGAACGTATTTCGGGATAATACTGCCCCCATTTACTTAATATAAGAATTTCAAAAATTCGGTTAGCTTTATACCGCATATATTGCTCAGTGACATCTTAGCAAATTTAACATGCTCTCGAATATACTTGAGTAATGTCAAAAGTTATTGCGATCTGTCCAGGTCTTACCAAGATTACCTAAACAGAATGTGGTTTAACGCCGAATACGTTGATTGCATTCATAAAATTGAATTAACCGCCATTTCTTTTATATATTGATTTCAGCTTCTCTGATTGATATTTTCCTCATATACACAATACTACTTTAAATTTACCCTCTTTAGTTTAATTTATATCACATTTATATATTTTGATTAATTGGGTGCATTTTATATTAATATCTTGGACAAAAAAATATGATAATAAACCTTTCACAATTTGGAAAATGAAAAGAATATATTATAATATAAAGTGTTGGGTTTCACCACAACCTTGCCGTTCCTTACTTGTTAATTGTGCGTTACTAACACAGTTCATTCGATGAATCGAATGTTTTACATATTTGACTCAAAAAAACAGCTAGCAAATAATTTCAATAATTTTTTCGCTAAATCTTTAACATTTATAATAATTAAAACTCAATTATATTAACGATAGAAATACACCATATACAGTAAGAAAGAAAATTCTGTGATTTCTGATTCTGAGTTTCCGATAAAATAATGGTAGCACAGTACAACAACTAATCTGGGGGGTGAGAAATTCCAAGTCAGGGTGATGGTACTAGGTCAGTATAGTAAAACCCGCAAAGGGTTTGGCGTTCGTATGTGTCAGTTTTTTTTATGACTAGTACATCACCTTGACTTGGAATTTCTCACCCGCCAGAAATGTTCCACAGTGTATTTTTCCTGTCGACACCAATACAAGGTGTTAAATGCATTATACATGGGAAATGGAAACCATTCCAATTATCAATATATAATATAATATTTTTTCTCTTTGGGTCAACGTTTGGCTTTTCACTTACAAATTCGCACTCGATTATAGCAAGCACGTCGTGTAGAGACACGCTCTGGCCAACTTTTATAGAGTCTAATATTTTCCCTCGGCATTTATGTATAAATATGGTTTATAACCCGGTGAAAAAATATAGACAATAAATAATTTTTATAAATTCTACTTTATTATAATACATATTCTCAATAAATGGACGAGCAACTTGCAACTAGTGCCATTCAAAATACTGTGGATCAAACGAAAAAATAATTAGGTAATGTTAAAAGGTTAAAAAAAGGATTTGCATGATATCATAGGGTTACTTAGTAACAATAATGTAGACTTTTATCTCCTTTTATATAGACGCTTATCTTGATTTTGAATAACAGCTATATGCTATAGTGATCCGATGTACACGATTTGTCCGTTATGCTATAGCTGTCCGATGACGGCAGTTTCGACAAAACAACAGTTTCTCGGGAAGAAAAGGAGGTGTGCAAAATTTCACAGCGTTGTATCAAAAACTGCTGCGTGATCATTTATATCCACTTTTCTGATTGATAAACTTTGTGAAAAACTTAATATAGGGACTTATTTGTTAGACAGTTTCTTTCACACGTCACTATTTATTAGTTTTTTTTCCACTACTGAACAACATATATTAATTATTTTCGTACTTCTTATATCATATATATAATTCTATCCCTTTTTTTTTGTTGTCATTGTAACTAGTTAAAAGAATTAATGGTGCTCTGCATATAAATTGTAGAGAGTCTAGCTATTGTATTGTGTTTAAGCCTGTTTTTCCATTTACTTTGAGCGAGAAGAGATGAGGCTCAGTATTCACATACACCATCTTTTGTTTCCTTTAAATTAGAGTACATATGGAGTGATTTTCTCAAAAGCCAAACTGATGTACCGGTATCAGCTTTCTCTCTGTGTATGTAAAATGTGTTGAATCGGGTTAAAACTTGCAAKAACTCCATATACCCCACATATGGCTATAAGCCTCAGTGGCTATGTTTCGTGTTATACTCACCACACAATACAAAATGGTTTGGAAAACAGTGCAACAGTTAGGAAGTTTAAAATGAGGTTGATAGAAAATTCCTGACAATACACCCTCCCCAACCTTCTCCAAAGCTTTGATGCCCAGAGATTGGTTTGGTGATACAAAAGACCCGTCAGGATTATCGAATGTACTGATATTTATTTCATTTAGAATCTCAGATCATTTATAATCTCAGATCATTTGAGTCTGATAGTAATTTTCGCCACGATACATCTTYCGGCGTTATCTAGGGGTACTATATYCAAAATGGTAAGTGCCGGTTGGCATATGCTGATGAGCGTCACRCGTTGAGCTCTCTCGAACTTGCTTACAAGTGYGGTCTTTTCTAGGGCCCTCCACCACTCAAGACTCCAGTTATCGACCTTAAGATATATATATTTCGTATCATGAAAAATTATGGCATTATTACACTGACGGACAAAAGTTTTGGCAAAGCTGATGTTGGTTCCTTCAGTGCTCTGTAGTTCCGTAAATTTAAAAGGTAGGTTCAAATAATGTACTAGTAATATACTCACCTTTATGTTATCTATCACTATACTTAATTTCATATATGATATATCTGTGGTTGTTTTGTAACAATAATTTAAATAAAAAGCGAATATATTTCAATGGACAAAAGTTTTGACACATTTTGAATATGAATTGAAACATGAGAAAAAAATGCTAATTTAATAACGAGTATTTAAACCTTTCATTTTAATAACGTCATTTAAACGATTTGGCATGGAGTGAACCAATTTTTTTGTCACCTCAGATCCAATGTTAGTCCATTCATAYTGCAGTACCTCTTTTAATTGGCTTTTACTTGTTACGTTGTGCTTTTCAACCCTTCGTCCAAGTTCATCCCATAAGTGCTCAATTAAGTCCGGTGATTGAGGAGGAGTTGCAAGAACGTGGGGAACGTGATGAATGATCCACATACGAACATCATAAGCTGTATGTTTGGGATCATTATCTTGCTGAAAATAGAACTGATTCCAGAGATTCAGCTTTTCTACACTTCCTTGCAAGTTTTCTTTCAATATGTTCATATATACAGTTTCGTYCATTACTCCATCAACAAATACTAAGTTCCCAACGCCGCCATACATCCCCAAACCATGACTCCTCCACCTCCATGCTTTACAATGTTACTAACATTGTTTTGTCAAATTCAGTATTTGACTTTCTCCATACCCGTATTCCACCGTCGCTTTGGAAAATGTTAAATTTACTTTCGTCTGTGAATATTACTTTGTCCCAGAAATCCATAGGAACAGAAATATATTCGTTTTTTATGTAAATTATTGTAACAAAGGAACCACTCGCATTACATAAGTGAAATTAAGCACAGTGATAGATAGCATAAAGGTGAGTAAATGACTAGTACATTATTTGAACCTTCCTTTTATATTAACGGTTCTATGGAAAACTCTAGAAACCAAAACCCACTGTGCCAAAACTTTTGTCCATCAGTGTACATATTTTTGGTATTCTAAAAGATATTGTTTTATTATTGTAACGTATCGGGTTTTTATGACATAGTGATATTAGTCATAGAAGTAAATGCGAAGCTTATAAATTGTAGAATTAGCAAAATTGATGTCAATCAATAAATGACAGTAATTTTTCATATTCTGGCGTTGCGAACCGCGAGGAAATGCAATTCCCATGTAATTCAATCAGTCTCATTATTGGGTTGTCAGTGTGGAGGAACWGTTGCAGTCTCTATAGCCAATCCAAATAGTTATGAACCACTTTACCCCTAGTGTATACAGCAATCAACTGTCAGAGTAAGTCGGAGATGCATAAGTACACTTATGAATGAAAGCTACTTTGTTTTGTTTTAAAAAGTAATAGTTTTGCCACAATACAGTAAAAACTGTTTATTAACATACATTTATTTATCAATTATTATATAAGCCAGACTAGTTCCACGTCATTCAAGTAGTTTTAAATGTAAACTRGTATTCCTGACTAGTTTGACGACATTAGAAGGATGTTACAAATATATATATGCCACACACATGCATAAAATAGAGTAAATGTACTTGCATTGCAAACAATATTTGCTGTCCGTTGTTTTTAGAGCTGTAGCAGCAAATGTGTTTAGAAATCGCACTACATTACTGTCATACTTACACAGTTATGACGTGCTATATATTCGTATATAAGCACTTATTTGCACCATGTATAAGTACGTACCACTACTTTTGGCGCATTGCATCAATGCGGCGATGCGTTTGTATCTRTGTATGTAATATGTGCTATGCAACCTTAATGTCAACCCTAGCGCTTTTTGTTGCGGCGCAGGCAATCGACATTTCCATTTAAAATTTGTACACAGGGGACATCCGTTGGACGGTTGTCACATCCGACATCTCGAATGCCGAAGAGAATCGCGAAAATTTAATATTTTGCGATTTCCTGCCAGCCAAGTGGTATCAACTACGCGTCTCGGCCACAAATGATGCTGGTAAAACCACTGAACATTATCATTTTGCAACAACCAATCTGGATGGGGTGACAATACCACCGCCACAGGTTTTCCCATCGGAAAACGATTTGATGAACAATCTGATAAATGCTACAAATCCCACCAACGGTGATTGGTTTTCAACATTGATCGTCATCGTCATCATCACCGTGGCCATTATTACCATGTAAGTATAATAAATTAAAAGTAGAACAAAAAATAACGCAAAATAACGGAAGAGTGCAATAAATGTGATGTTTCGAGGTGCACCGAAATGTGAAAGAGTGTGGCTGAGAGTTTGCCGAACTACAAGTTCACACTTCTAATATTGCCACAGGTTCATCATTGGATACATAAAACACATGCAGTTTCCTCTTCTTCAGCGATGTTAWTTTATATTTTGCCCATCTGTAACGRCTGTTAATTGAAACAATTACACACCAACTGGATTGGCATCTTAAAAAAAGCCCAAATTCTATTAWCTTATAGATATTATCTTTTATAAATTACAAAGCTTGACTCAAGATGGATGCCGCATTTCTTGAATATTGATCAAAAGGACAATCGTATTCGGCTTTCAAAGGACAATCTGACACTGAGSAAACACAGGAATCATAAGTTTCTGGAAAAGGAAAAGAAAGTCGAATTCGCCTCTATAAGTTGGAATTAATTTTATCGACTTCCCCGAATATGGTAATACAATTGATAACCATATTAATGTTCGTTTTCAAAACAATTGGAAACTGCAGCATTGTTCGYCGAAATAATTTTCAGTGATGATTCTTAACAGCCGAGATATTTGATATACAAATTATTGTAATCAATTTGAAAGGTGAATTTTTAATTTATACTTCGCGTGTTTTTCGAATCGCTACATTTTTTCTGCAAGTTGGTAATACTGACATCTATGCTAAATTTCACGTCAAAAAATATTCATTAAAATTTGAGATACGCGTCGTTTTGTGAGGCTCTAAAAGTGAATTCCTCGATTTTTACTATGTCTGAATTTATTGAACAAGGAAGTGCGATAATGAACATCTTTTACAGCATCGGTTATTCGTGACTATTTCGCCACATTTTCAACTAATATCGTGCCGCAWCCACCGCATCCGCTTGATTTACCTTCGTGTAACTTCTGGCCATTTAGCAAATTCACATGACTCAATTGAGGATATAAGGCTGAATCGAAGAAGGCTCTGATGGCCATCACGACGGAGTACTTTTGCAAGTGCTATGATGACTGGAAAATTCGTTGGCATAAGTGTATTGCACCGAGGAGGGTATTACGGGTACTTTGAAAGAGATGAAATGGAATAAGTACTTTGCTACTTGTCTATATTAATTTAAACTTTTGAGTAAAAARAAAATGTACATAAGAAGTTAATGTTACTTTACTTACGCGATCCGACACATTTGTAATTAGCGAAGATTGCGTGTTAATAGACCAAAAGTTTTTCTAAGCTGACAGACAGTGAGCAAAACAATTTAATTGGCAAAACGGTGAAATCACGTATTTCATTTGCACTTTATTGCACTCGAGACACACACTGGACATTCTCTCGAACAATTCCTTATCATTGTTTCTCTTTACCTACCTAATTCTCACATTGTTTTCTGTTGTCCAACTATGTTTTCCTTTTCACATGCTTCCTTTGCCGTGTTGCCCTGTCACAGTGCTTTAACAATTAAGCATCGTCGCACTCTGTGCGGCCCCATTGCCGATGGCTATGAGTCGCGTACACTGCCCGGTGATTACAAAGAAGACCGCGACAATCGACGCAATCAGCAGGTGTACAGCGCTTCTCCAGTAAAAACTGTAGATAAAGGAAACGAATCAGGTGAGTGAAGTAGCGAGATTATGGAAAGATGATTTGGCGGTCAAGGTGTATGATGAACACTAACAAAGCAAATCTTTTCCGACGAGTAGACGAAAGTTAGTAATTAAATAACTTCTTCATTTTGTGAATGTTTTCTTTTGTTGTCGGTGTTCAATATAGAAATGTACGAGATTTCACCCTATGCTACATTCAGCGTKAATGGTGGGCGAACGGGTGCGGGTGCAGGCTCCTCTTCGAAAACACCACCTCGTGGTGGTGTTTCCGCTTCCCCAATGGATTACACCATGCAGTTTAAGACTTTCGGACATCCAGAGGGCGATAATCTCAATGCAACTGCTTATCCTTTGATACCGACCAGCGCCGGATTCGGTCATGTGAAGTCGAAGTCTAGTTGGCACAAACAGCGCTACTTCAATACGGACGGTAAACTACTGTAGTCCATATCAAGACATTTCTTCGCWTTGGTTTGATCTGTGTATTATTCAACAAATTTTTTAGATGAGTCCACGCTTAGCAAATCGATGACCATGGTGGCTGGCTCACAATCGGGGCATTCGAAGAAGAGYGGACGCGCCAGCAAGAGCGCCAGCAGCAGTAGCGGTGGTGGAGGTGGTAGCGGTAGTGGAGTTGTAGGTGGTCCCAGTGGAGTAGGAGCTGGTGCACACTGTGAATCGGAGTCAGATACGAGTATAAGTCCCAGCACTGAGTTTTCCAATATGCCAACCTATAGAGTTCCTTGTAAGTCGACGCGCAGCAACGATGGGCGCCCAGCTGCAGGTGCGTATGGGCGGGCCGCGCWTGCTAATAAGCCTGTCGCTCGCTATTTATACACTTTTGCAGATATGTTTCGACCAGACTCGAGCACGGAATCCAACAATGAACAGGGCTCACCGGTGGAACGAAGAATAAGTGGACGAGGGACAGGAATTGCTGGAGTTGGAACTGGGAGTGGAGAGATTGACAAACGAGGACATCGTAGTAGGAAACAACAACAACAGCTGCAATTACAACAACAAGCAAAAGAGCATCAAACGCTGGACCGGAGAATATGCCCTGGAAGTAACAACAGGTAGTTCAGGTACCTAAACCCCAAACACAACCAAAAACATTGATTTAAATTAGAGAGAGCWTAAAATACACATGTGAAACTAAAGTAATGAAAATAAATTTTTACACCCGTAAAACAACTATTATACGGTTAATGCAAGAGAACTTACATCTTGTATTTTCAAGGCAATTTGTTGCTTAAGTTTAGTACACTTTTGATTTGAATACTTTAATTATAGAAATACATTGAATTTAATTAATAGAGACTTAGGGTTATCCTCAACATCATAAGCTTAAGTAGAGTTGTGTAAAGAAATWTTGTGATAAAATCTATCGGGTTGAAAAAAGCAAATGAAGTTACAGTAAAACAACTATTATACGCGTAAAATTCAAACCAACACTTGTGATATTATTTTCACTTAGTTCGCATAAAGACGCGAAACAGGGTACACAGTATAATATAGTAACTAAATTATAAATTCCGTCTTAATATTTCACTTTATAGTATACACGTCAAGCGTGAATGAGTATATCTGGCTTAAACTTGTCGCAAATAATGTCAGATGTAAAAAACTCCAAATTCGGGTGACAACATTTAAAGCCAATTCATATGGCCGTCTTTTTACTGAAACTATTGGTCAATCTGTGATATATTGTATTGAAACTAATTCGGAGAGGGTTCAGGATCAGTAAAATCGTCAATTCTTCCCACCCTCTTTATGGTTAATATAATATGTAGATTTTCAAACTTCCCGTTGCTTTCATAACACACATGCCCTTCAAAATGTTAGTTGTCTTCATAACTTTTTTTAACAACAGGAATCTCCCAATATCTATGAATATTTTCAAATTTCCCTTTTATTTCACGCCAGATATAGTATGGTCAACATGTGAGGTTTCTTAATTAAACTCAKAAAGCATATTTTCTGTTAATAGTATGTCTCAGCCCCCTTATGGCCAGTAGGAACAAGAATTTTAAACTGATTTTTTATATCTTATGTAAGCTGAGTAATTTATATTAGCTGTCTTCGATTCGCCAAACATTACCCTCCAGCGAATCAAACAAACTATATCAGACGCTGAAACAAACGAGTAGTACTTGTGGTACCATCCCTCACCAACGTGTTTTCTGACGCATATGCAATAGTGTTATTATTCTTTCTTAGTGAAGAAATAACTTTTATCACTTTAAAAAAATTGCTGTAACCTTTTATTTTTGTTTTCCATAAATTACTTTTGTATTTTTTGTAGTCATGCGCATATGGTTTTGTAAGAATGCGTCTCGATAACTTTATTGTTGATTTTAYATGKAATTTTTTTGACAAAAGAGCAAGAGAGAGCGGAGAAATAGCGAATCGAAGCTTTTTAAGTTAAGGCCGAAAGTATGTGAWTATGAATGGAATTGGTCTACACCTTAAACTAAACCCATATCTATAGTAAATTGATCGTGAACACAATATTACACGAAATTTAATTCCTTCGGCTTAATTTCACCATTCGTTATATTCAYTCTAAAGTAAATATATAGAACGTGTATATCTTAAAAAATATACCGGATTTCGCAGAGTAATGTTCGAACATTTCATACTCTTTCAATTTTTCCCCATCTTAAGGATGGTCSCTTGTTTGTTTTTATTTCACATATTTCTTCAAGTTACTTTTCACTTATTGTATTTTAAATAAAATGTTACTCAACAATGAGAATAACAACTGGCCGCTCCTTAAATCTTATTATAACATACATAGGTTGCTTTTTACATGGTATCTCGGGATTTGGCGATACTAGATTTTATCATAAAGTTTGACATTTTTGATGGTATGCATATTCAGAATGTTTTGGCATGCCAGCGCTATTTGTATTGTTTACAGCAACTTAAAATATCCTTATCGACAAAAAAATGGAATTAAATCGCGAAGATTTTCATGCTATTAATTTTTACAACTTTCGAAGCTTATTAAATTATCAAGAGTTCATAGATGAACRTAATTTGAATTATATCTTCCGATGAAGCTTAATCAAGGACCATTGCATATCGATATTATTCCAAGACGATTTTCGGGAATGTTTTCCAAAATTTGTTGTTCCAAAAACTATTGATGTGGTCAAACGAATAGAACAAGATCGTCATATAACCCATCGTGATATAGAGATAACAATAGACACTAGTGGGACTAGCATACATTCAATATTGCATTAACATTGGACAGTTCGCGCTGGATCCCACACAATTAGTCAATCGCTATAAAAAGGGTCGTGTCGATTGGTCGAGAGAAATGGTTACAAAATACAATAACGGCGCTCCGAAACACGTTTATGGCATTTTCAAATATGGTGAATAGTGAATCTTTGTATTCTCGTGCGTAAAAAATAAACTAATATCGACAACTGAACTGATACCTCCATTAGAGTGTCAAAAGTGTTTCGACAAGAAGCATGCAAAAGTATATATGTAGAGGTTAATGGAGAATATTTAAAAAACAATAAAGCGCTTTTCTTTTTTTTATTAAATTTTCCCGAAATATAAAAGGCAACAAATGTACCACAAATGCTTACTTATGTATATTTATTTAGAAACTTACTTACTTAGTATGTTCATCAAAGCTGCATTTGATTTTAAAATGTTTGTTTATACATTTCGTGTTTTTCCACCGCTTTCCATAGTGTAGACAGTGAGGTTAACTCGGATATGGGTACCTCCTTAGCGGCCACCATAGCCGCTGTGGCTGCGGGCGATCTGGGTTTTCGTCCACCGTCGGGTTTTACTGATTCGCGTGAATTCAGCGAAGCTGAGTGTGACCGCGAGCAACGTGCATTGGACTTGGAAGTGCAACGTGTTATGGAAAACACCGACGGACAATTGGCCAAGATGGATCGAGAGGAATTGACTTCACTGCTAGCAAGGTAAGAATGAATTATTCAATTCACTTTAAATGTCTGTTCATATATTGATATGTGCCAATGATTTTGAAGRTGGTATAAGTCATATTTTTTGTTCCGAGATATTTAGAGTTTTGCTTTTTAAAGGATTAAAAAATATTCTTGCATTATAGATTATGATTTTTCGACWGTAAATTAGTCCCAACAAACAAGTATTTATTATGATTGTGAAATTTATATCCATTTTTAAAAGAAAATGTGGTTTTGAAAGGTTTAAATGACTTGTACCACTTTCAAAATTAACTGCATGACTTTATAAATGACTTATACAACCAATGAAACAATTTTATGAGTAGTTAACTTTTTATAATATATAGATAACTCWTTTCATTGTGACTAAGTAAATTATTCATTAGTATCCAGGGAAATATAGTGTTTGTGGAAAATTGKTGGAATATAGGGTAGTAGATCCATCATATCTTTACGTTTTTCTTTTGTTATTGGTCTAATGGTTGTGTATAATTGAAGTAAGTCAATACTTCGTATACTCTMGGTCTTCCTTTTTTAGGTGAGAGGTCTAATACTTTGAATTTGGTATTGTCATCCAAGGAAGTTTTATAAAACATCTTATATGGAGCATTTTTTAGAAATCTGATTCATCGTATTTTTAACCAAGGCACAGCTAGCTTCTCCATTGATGTTTTTCTTTCTGTTATTCGTTGAATCTTTTAGTTGTAGAAATAAAATCTTTTTGATCCATTTGTACCACCGAAAATGGGTTCCTCATCTTACATGATTTTATTAAATTATAATAATGCTTAGGGCTGTATAAATAATTCGATTTTTTAATTTTAGTTTCTATCAAACCAAAATCGCGATCATTTGGCAATAAAGAATGATACAATGATACGGATACAATAAATTTATGATCAATTGTTTCAACATTATTATCAGATGACTGAACAATTTTTAACCATAKTAAAGCTATATCAATGTTTCGATTTTGTCCTGAGCAGGCATCAGGTAAGCTATTATATGCTTTCGATTGGTAATGTCCCTAATGTGATTTAAGATGCAGGGCGCATCTTCCTGTGATCCTCTTGAAGCGATTKTTTCATCCCATGCATACATTTTAGCATTTCCATTGTGGAAACTATCAAACCCTAAATTGTATACATACATGTTGCGCTTATAGTAAGCTACCGAAACAGAAWGTTTTGGATAAGGAAGCGCTTTCTGTAGGTCAAATGTAAATCCGTAATTTTCACTCGKGTTATCTTTTGTTTTTGTATGTCATCTGTTAAACTTTTTCTAACCTGTTCGGCACTTTTAAGACGTGAGTCATGAATTTCCATAMGATGCAACTTCTCGTCTTCATTACTGGATGCTTCAATTTTTAGTTTTGTCGAATCACACTTTTGGCAAGTGTCTTTACGAGGATTATGAAAATTTGGGTTGAACTCAGTATTAAATGTTTTTCTAAAAGTCAACTCCTTTACATATGATATATTATTATCATCACATTTTTCCACAGCCATACATCACATTTTTCCATAGCCCATACATTTTTCGAATATCTAAGTCAGCACTTAGATACTTTCGACCTGAAGTGTGATGTGATAGCGWGTAATGGCTCTCCCATGCTGGAAAACTCAGAATATCATCTCGTACTACTTTAATTTTTTCTTTATCTGTTTTTCTAGATGAACTAGCCAATTTGCCACGACCATCCATTCTAGGAGCTTCGGAATTTAAGGCATGGCTTAATCTTCCGTTAGATATTTTGAAAGAATCCAAAAAAAAAAAATTTTGCAAACGGTAACTTCCGAACTCATACATACATATAGATGAAACTTAAGACTCCATTTTCTCATATATCCTTTGTGATTTCTGGGGTGTTTTTGTTTTATTGATTGTTTTCTAGTCAAACCATACAGAAACATTTTCTGTTTTTCGAAACTTGCTAAATTCCAAATTAATCAAAATTGGCTTTCCTGTCTTCATATCCGATTCCATTTAAACACWTTATGGAACAAAGCCAATCTATATTTTCGAAAAGGTTAGCACTCACGGGCTTAGAGCTTTTTGTTTCATATTCCRTGTATTCGACGTAAAATGTCCACAATTAACTTTAAATAGTAGGTTTTACATTAAAAGTTTTACTTCAACATACCTGAACCACTATCTGAAGCCATGACAAAATTACTTTGTGAACACACTGACTTATACCGCTATCAAAACGAACAATATCTGTATTTCAGTTAACAACTAAAAAATAAACACATTTTAAAGAGTCAATTTGCATGGCATCTCTTCAGATTATGTTATTTTATTAARATTTGATAAATAATAGCTGATAAAGTACATTTTTTAAATTTTTTACTTATGTATATGACTTTTAAAATCAAGGGCTCATATGCATGTGCTCTATTCCGCAATTTTCGTCTGTGCGTGAGAGCAATATGTGTGATAAGAAGAATTTTAGACATTTACTGACCATATGATATTTCCTTTCTAAACATCGTCGCCTAGAAATATGTATAAGTTATATACATTAAAATACATATTTCTTTAGGCTATAATGGCTCTCCTTCATTGAAAACTGAAATTGGTCGTTGTTGATACGAACTTCCAGTGTTACATGTTCGTTGAGACCAAAAATGGTCCCGGGTAAAAATGATCAAGATTTTAGTGCCCTAAGCAAACGCTTACGTGTAGAAAATATATATCTATTAAAAAAAAAAACTTGCATGAAGATAAGGGATACAAATTTAAAATGGATTTTAAATAAAAACTCTAAACTTAGCCTAGACAGCAAATTCATACAATGCGGTCWTAAAGACGATTTGGATGCATGGGTTTCAACTGTGGCGCAGTGCAACTAAAATTGATATAATAAAAAGGTTCCAATCAAAAATGCTTAGAGCAATCACGTGTTCGCCATGGCACATGCCTAATGACAACATTCTTAAAGATTTTGATATTCCCAAAGGAAGAAGTACAAGACAGCTGAAGGAAATATTTACTATAGTATACATAAACTCGAACCCTTTGGCTAATGATTTAATACATTCCTGCGTTCAGACACACCTAAACAGAAAATAATATATATACATACCTACCTACTAAAAAACAACTTATCACCAAAATAGCTCAATCACTTGCTTGAGTTTGTCAAGTTTTTAAATAGATTTAAGTTTTTATAACTTATTGTTAGGCTTAAAACAAAAAGCAGATCAACGAATAAAGAAATATTGAAAACAAATTATTGGTCCATTACAGATATCACGAGAAAAAGGAGCAGGAGCGCCAGGAATATACCATACATGTTTAATATTTATTGGAAATTATTCACATGAACATACACACAAGAAAACGCATTTATATAAGTACACTGCCGAGCTAGTGAGCGCCTAAACAAAGTAACTATTGCATTTTACATAATCACACGCTGGGAAATAAAGCGAACTGACTACAACAAATCAACAAACGATCACCTCTCGAAGGCAACAAATGCATTTATAAACCCTCACAAACAAGGAGTCATCCCAACTAACAATTGTAACTAAACTAAATGTGGCAAATTGATTTTATTTAYCATTATAAGCTCGCAGAACGCTACATATTCCCACTCACAGATAAGTAGTTATATATGTAAATGTATTGCATTCTAGCATCCCTGCAGGACAACACAATAGCTCCCTTTAACCGGTAATATTTTAATGCACGCGGATGGACTTAGAGCCCATTTATTAAATTTACTTACACAGTAAAGACTTCGCTCGATAGGAAGCTTTATTGTTATTCTAGTAACTTTCATTGGGATTGGCAAAATAATATTMTTCTCTATGGTAGACAATTAAAGCTTTATAACATTGGCAGAACTTTTAACTTCTAAAAACTGGAGGTAATTATTCCAGTTTTTTTTTTTTTCAAACACACAAATTCACACGATTTTCTTCTGAATAAATTAATTATATTAGCGTAGATTGACTTAAATTACACATTTTAAAAGCTGTTGAAGAATTTAGTTCTGTTCTGTTAGATGTCGACACTCAATAGACACATTCCTATCGTTACTCGGGACGAAGAATGACTGTGGTGCGAGATGGTCAATGGTTAGGAATATTCAAGGTATTCGCGTTCATTATCTCTTTTATACAAATGGTTGGAAAGTGGAAAGAGTTTCGAAAATGCTACCTTTTAAAGGGTAAAATATTGTTATCAAATTTAAAGCCAAAATATGTTGAACAAACGCTCTTGTTTTGGCTACCGGGTTTGTTCTGTTAGAATTTTTATAGTGTGTAGTGGTGAAAATCTATTCATTAACAAGGTGCATGGGCCTGCAAGGTATAATATGTACATATATGCGTACATGTATAGGTCTGCATTTTGTGCTGTACTCATTAAATTGGGCAAAACAAATAAAAACAATATGAACACATACGCATAGCAACACTTTTCAAGAAAAAATGCAAAATTAATTATTTTATACGAGTGCACTAATTCTGCTGCGAATATAAGTATTATATTTACTGTTGTTGCAGGTCAAGCGTGCATTTATACCTGTGCACATTAGYTACAAAGTGCGGGGTTCGAGCTTTTCAACTGCACATTACATCAAAGTTAGTTGAAAGGGGCGTAAAACTATTTCGGTTGCATGTTGGAAATAATTAAACGTAAAGATATCTTAAATTTCATTATACTGATGATGAACATTTAATAAAACAAGTAAAATTGTAGACTTCGGATGCATCGAAGCTTTAATAACATAATATGGATTAAAAACGCTTACATCTTTATTTTATTCGGTCCGATCACTACAAAAAAATTCCAAGCTAAGGAAAATGTGACGATGGTCTGTCTTACAAAGATGCTTACATTAYACGCGAGGCTATAAAAATAGACTAATCGTTTCCGAGCGTTCTATCCAAAATCTTCCATTATATCCAAAGAATATTCGTTTGGGATATTTTAATACCTAGTTGTTCTCTTAAAGAGTACTTAATCACCAGCAGGAATTGTTTTCTACTTCGAAAGAAACATAGAACGGGAAACTTTCTCAGATAAATTCTTTTCTTGTAACRTACTAAGAATTATCAATTTAATTGAATGATCCATTTGGTTTAATATTTTTATTTCTGGGTAGAATAGATCTCTATAGGCAGTCAATATTMTGTATATATATCCTGAGCGCCCTTTAAATGGATGAATCTTTAACTTAATATTTCTTTAAATAATGCTATTTACTTTGAATTTAAGAGCTTAAATAATTTGGTGCAAACTGTCATACGTTTCAGCTAAGTAATTCTATATCGATACGTATTATACATATATGTATAAGTATATAAGTGTAGCAAAATAAGTATTAGAAATAAAAAATGATAAACTGAATTTACAAATATAATTTAATTATAGTATTATTACATTTCAACAAATATTAGATAATCACAAGCAAAATTGTATGATATCATAGGCAATAATAATAAATATGAATTTAATATTAATGAAACATATTTAGCTGTAACCATGAGTAACTCTAAACTATTTCAGATATATAAACTAACAATTAATTGAATTTCAATAACTTATGTTGCCTAGTAATTTCAAAAAAAGGAAATGGAGATCTCTGATTAGAAGTCAGGATCAAAGAGGTAAGTATATACACAAGATATCTGCTTCAGAAATATAAAAACAACGARAGTTATTCATTTCCTTCTGATTCTTTAGCTTGATGTATGCACAAGGTATCGAGTTAAAAGCTTGATTTGCTATTTTTCGTCTACAAATGGCATATAGTGTGTCTACGACTGACTTTTTACAGAAAATGTGTGTATCTAATATAGAAATTCCAAACATCCGGTTGGCTTAATCCTGAATAATATGTAAGCTATCTTAGCAAAATTAAGTGAACGGAAACTGATTCTACTGCCTATATTTTTTGAAAGAGGTCCGATAATTGCCGAMTATTTCATATACTATTTGCTTGGGTTTTTATCAGGTATATATTAATTGAGTTAATCAGGTTAGTTTTGTTATAAAAAGTATGAGTAATAGTTAATAACTGCACCTTCTCTCGACAGCTTTATATTTCATTCTCACTTGAAACCAGTGCGGCTTAACAAGTAAACTATTTACTACTGTATATTTATTTTTCTGCAAAGCAAACAAAGTTTAGTTAACAATTTCTGTAAGCAAAATTGTAAAAACCGGTTTATCATTGCATCGATTCGATCGGTCGAAAATAGCAAACGGAAGGAAAGCAAATGTCAACAWTATTGCGAGAATTCACACATTTTCATGTGTTTATAAAGGTAAACTGTACACAGTGGCGTAGCTAAATCTTCCCAAGGGCCAAGGATGTTCTGCCGCCCCCCCTTTATCTGCCTACCTACAAGTTCCATGAGGTGGTTCGCACAAAAGTGAATTTTTACAAAATATCTTCGATATTAAGTATATAAAATTTAGGAACTAGACCAATGCAAATTCTGAAGTTCCGAAACTCTCACAATACGGTAATATTGCAGYGATCAAAGCTAGAAAAGTGCATCTTTAACTTCTATCACTATTTTTAGAAATATATAGTATATGCCAAAAGATATAAGGCAAATTCAACGACTGAAGAGTATTCGAGTAAAAATTAATATTTTTCATTGTTACTCATATTATTATTGTACAACTCTTTATCTTTTATTATAAATTTTGTAAAAAAAAATTGTTGAAGTACTTGTCTGAATTTTAAAAAACATCGAAGATCGTTTTGCCGCCCCCAAGACGTTGCGCYCGGGGCGACGGCCTACCCTAGTTACGCTACTGACTGTACAATACCTCACTAAAAGTCTACTGCCCTAAATAATCATACGATTATGGTAGGTTGTGTTATGCTGTTTTATAGTGAGTTCACGAATAAACGACAATTGAACTTTGTGTTGCTCAGAATTCAATGTTTGAGAAAGACCATCGCTAATCGAAAAATCGTTTAGAGCCAAAAATTCAAGGTCAACAAACCGTAACCATTGGATTGTTAAATGGAAGTAAACGCAACGGTTCTACACGACACACCTTAACGAAAAACTAGTRAGTCCTTTCTCTCAACACTAAATGGCTACACGGGTTGTGATGGTCGAGCCAGAGCAAAATATAATAACCATRCGCAGTGTTTTATTTAATGTCGCCAAGTCCAAAATATACTTGACGTGATTAAAGATTTTTTTAAAAGAACAGGCTACGAGCTATCARACTAAAGAACAATGACGAAAGGATAAAGACAGTAAAACAGTTTTCTTACTTCGTTAATAATTCTAATGCGGTGTACCACATGTACTTATCACGATAAGCAGCTGACAACTTGGGAAAGGATGCAACATCTCATGATTAATTGAAGGTCAGTGAACTGGAATAGAATAAAAAAATGCTTCTGTTTTCTCTGTGAGATTTACAATCTATGTATATATATATATCAACCAAACTCATATCTAGGACAGCATTATAATGTTCAATAAAGTGTATATCCCCTGAAGTAAAAAAAAAATGTTATTTCTATTCCGCACTCCTGTATTAAGTAATTAATGGTTACATAATGGTAACTTCTCAATTTAAATCTAACTTTCTGTTATAAGCATTTCGAAATTGCCTTTCATGCTCTTCTATGGATGGTGTATCCACTATATAAACATATTCTAATTGTGCTCTGAGAATTCGTTCAATTAACTCTCTGACCATTATTTCGAAATTAATTATAGAAGACCATTGCTCCGTGATTGTACTTTGAGTTGAATATATCTGAGTACATACTTGCATTTTCAAATGTTGTGAATTCGACATTTTAGATATTGCAAATGCAAACAACAGGGGCAAACATATATACTATATATACCAGAGTAAGGTAGCCTGCACTATGTGCTTTAATGCCGAAATTTCCATAGATTAGCAACGCTCTCTTCTCGCTTGAAATTACTCGGTTTAAATATGTACGGGTAAATATAAGTACACATTTGCCGTTTTATGATTTTCAGCAAAATGTCGAAGGGAATTGTAGTTTTGAAATATGTTTCTTATTTCTGCATTTCCATTTGGCAGATTTGCGTAATGCAGCACTGCACCTAAGCACCGGCAAATGGGTATACCAACAGCACACGGGTGTACATTAACATATCATGTGAGTGTGTGCTTCAGGGGCGTTGCATCCGCATGCATCAGAGCACATTTGCATTCATTTTCCTGGGACGCTAGCATTTGCCGCATTTTAGGCAATCGAATACAAAACCAACAGGCCAGTGTCACGTGAACAACATGGGGAGCTGAGGCAGATAGCAGGAAGTGAGTAAATAGTGCATTCGACCCGTTTCGAACGTAGCGTAGGTCATATGAAWTGACCAGAGGCGTTTGTGGTCAATGCATTCGAAGCGATAATAATGAAGCATACATTCAGGCGAATACGCATGAGATCACATGCAAGGAGACAACTGCACATTTGTATATCGTAAATATGGCGGTAAGTATGAATATGAATATAATGTCAGGCAGCAAAGCGTGCAATTGTGCACATTCCTGCTTTTTTCATTCGTTCATTTGTGCAAAATTTGTTGTTGTACTGATGTATAAGGCCATTTYAGGCAGACCTTAGCAATTATAGAAATTTCAAGTTTTTGCATGCTTTTCATGCGCCTCTTTTCTTGAAGCTGTCTAGTTTATTTTTTATTTTATTATTATATTTATGCCGTTTCTCCTTATATGCACAACTGCTCCAAAAGCCTATGCAGAACAAAAATTGATTGTTTACTTTAGAGTGCTCACCGACATTTGCAACGACTTTGGGTTTAGACTTAATTGATTCGCCTCTGGTTGCTGTTTTTGCCTCTCCTTCCAGTTTCCTTCATAAATGCTCTACATGCTTAGTCAAATGCCGTRGTTCTAGTGCCTAACTACGATCTTTCGATGTATTAGATCTCAAAATAAAATTTGGTACATATAGTATTCCTATTACGAGTTAATAATGAGTGAAATCGAGGTAGCGCCTTCCCTATGCGAGATTTAAGTCAGACGAAAAATGAAATATCCAAAATATACTTAAAAAGTAAACAGTTATGGGTGTTATTTTCGAGTTTATTTGTTCCAGGACTGAAGGCTATCTTTATCCCACTTTTCAAACATTTTTTAGCACTTAGGACAATTTGGTAAGTTCGCACGTCTTGATGTCATATTGTTTTTCCCGCTCTTGACAGCGCGGTTATCATCATTACAGTTGAATCGATTTTGGATTTTGGTCTATCTAAAATTTGATATCTACGGCCAACCTATCAATGCACACCGGCAGATGAGCAGTAGATTTTAAGGATCCTCGAGCTACAGGTAAGAGAGAAAATTKAATTGAGCACATATTTCAGGCTTAATGCTGCAAGGGAACACATGTACCTACCCTACTAGAAGATGTGTGAATTATGTACGCAAAATTCTCTCCAACTCTAGCAGAAATCGAACAAATTAGTCGCAAGCGAATAGGAGTTGCGACGATTTGCTGCGCTGAGGAAACAAATGTACGATGTGCTTTTAAGTCTTTCGGTAACAGCACGTTAATGACTACGGTGAGGAGTGGGTTACTAACAACACCTCTGCTTTCTGCTTGTATAAACAGTTGGATCGATGGAAATCGAGTGAACTGTTCCATTTGTGTATGGTTGAAAGGTTTGCTGATGAAGTTAAGTCATTAGAGATGGAAAAACAATKTCAAAGAGCTTCAAATATACCGTATGAGCTAATGTAATTCCGTAGTACGTTTTTCTTAAGCAAAGAATTCAGCAACAAAAACTTTTTACATATACATTACTTTCTTATGATAAATCAACAAAATTGTTTTTTCTACCTTCTACTTTTAACAATTTTAATTTGGAAAATTTTTTGTAATATTTTAGTTAGTCCAAATGTCACATTGTTCGTAGTAATAAATAATTAAAACCATAACAAACAGATAATTTTTAATGAAGCAATAATAAGTATTAGGAAAAGCGATATACATACATATATGAATATTTCAAGTGAACCATGCTTAAAGACAAGACGGCAAATATCACGTAATTTCTTCCAACMAAACAAGGCAATAAAAACAAATTTAGGTTTGCGTGCTTGTTGCGGAACTGTTGTTCACCAAACGATTCCCTTAGTACAAAATTTATAAGTCAGCAAATAATATACCAAAGCTTAAATTGATTGTCAATCTAGATTTGGAATGGGATGGGCGAAGCCTGAATCACAAGTTTTATACCAACCGCAAAAACTGTGAGGAAAACATGTCAATGTGGCACTTTATTTCTGGCCAAGAGGTCRCGTTAATATRTGTACATATACCATTATTARTATGAGGGTTRCCTTTTATATTTCGGGATTAAAAAACAAAACGTGGCCCATTTTCAGTGCTAAAGAACTTTTTCGCAGCATTTTTATTTGGTTTAGCTTCATGTACGTTAAACTATTCAGGGGACGGGCACTATACACAAGAATGTTATCTCTAAATTATGTACAGTTTTTTATCTTGAATTAGTGCTCAGTTATGGTAAGTTTYAGTTTAATGGTTTATTGTGATCCGATTACGCCTATCTGCAATACCGATCTGACTTGGATGCCGAAGAAAAAATGTACAAAATTTCATTGCAATATTCCAATTCTTCTAAATTATAACTTGTGTATTTTATATCTATCTGGTTTAGTTTTAGGTGRCACCGTTAAGTGAACAAAACTTTTGTATAATGTAGCRACATATTGCGAAAGTATAAAACATCCAGGGGGTTATTAAATTTGGCTAATATTATATGGCTTTGTGAAAAGTTGTTGGCAGCGTGATAAGGTTAATCCAGATTTGCTTAGTTTTGTAATCCATCGATCTAAAGGTTCGCACATCAGGGCAGGGACAAAATATAAACGATTTGCCTTAGCACTTTTMTTCATGGACTTTCATCAGAAGTAGATCAAAGGAAGTCACTCCACCCTTTGCACCCTTAAACGATTTGTACTATGTTCCATGTAAGTGGGTGAAAAGGTGGCCCCCTTTCTTAACAAAATTAAGCAGCGAATTACGCGATTTCGAGCGAGTGATAAATGTGTGCAAAGTTACGCTGACCTAACGGATGATGGGTGAATAATGATAGCAATGAAGATGATAATGACTGCGCCGATTACAATGATGATGACGTTGGCGGTATGTCGGTGTGTTCTTTGGAATTTATGTTGACTTTTACTTGTCGCGTTGACGAGCGGCTTGTTTGATGAATCGACTTCGGGAATAATTGCGCTTATTCGGCAATGCTTACTCARCTCATAAGCAAACACAAACCCAGGCGAAACGCGCT